TGTATGCACATTTGTATGTATGTATATTTTTGTGTATATAAATATTCTGTATGTATGTATATATTTCCTAGTTCAGTCTTATGAAAGATCCAAGAAGCAGAAACACTTCATTAGCAAGAGCATACCTAGCCTTGGTCTCTAATACCATTCTGTACTAACAGGAAACAGGGCTCCTTAGAGAAAAGGCTAATTCCAGGGCTGGGACAGAGAAGGACAAGATGAACATGGAACATCTTATTATACCAGAAAGTAAGGAAGTGCTCAAAAAAAAAAAAAGATGTAGGCATATCACAAAAACATAGTACCCAGACTAAAAGTGCTCCCACTAGCTTAATCTGGGACAATTTAAATACCGAAATAATTAAATATAGACTTAAATATTTAGAGGTGAAAGGTCGTGACATAACAACTTACCTTCAAGTGATTCATTTTAAAAAAGTGTACAAAATATACATATCTAAATGTAGCTAGAACTCAAGAAAACAAAGCAAATACAGAGTGGAAAAACAGGAATTCATAAGTTAATGCAGATAATAGAGAAGAAAGGGCTCTTTGTTCATAGTAGAATGCTATGGACTGACTTGGTAGATGTGGAGAGAGTACTAGATTTGTTGAATCATTTTGCAACCGTAATGGCAAAATTATATCAGCAATAATTGATGCTAAATTTAAACGGGAATTCTGATGATGAGCAGGATATATCTTCAAATGTTTCCCCACAATTTGCTTTTTAATTGCCAGGAAGAAAAAAAAACAGTAACTATACAATGGAAAATTTGGTCCACATATGGACCATGTGATCAAAACTACTATCACCAAGGAGGGACAGATGGAGCATGTGCTTCCAGAAGTGATACCCTACAAAGGACACATCTATCACCTGTGTAATAGTCCAGTTGAGAATATATATAACCCCAATTTAATCATGAGGAAACATCAGACAAAAACAAAATAAGGAACGTTTTATTAAAAAGAGTGGTGGAGGGGTGCCCGGGTGGCTCCCACAGTTAATCCAGCTCAGGTCATGGTCTCAGGGTTGTGAGACCATCAGCCTTGGGCTCCGTGCTCAGTGGGGAGTCTGCTTCTCTCCCTCTCCCTCGTGCCCCTCCTCCCACTCAGGCGCTCCTTCTCTCTCTCAAATAAATAAATCTAAAAAAAAATGCAGTGGAGTGAAAAGCTATATTCTTTAAAAACTCTTTAAAAATGTCCAGGTCATAAAAGGTAAAGGCTGGAAATATCCCAAAGTAAAGGAAGCTAAAGAGTCATGACATCTAAATGTATTACCTGACCCCAGACTGGCTCCTATACTGGAGGGGTAAATGCTAATAAGGATCAAGCTACAAAACTGGAATATGGTGGTAGATTGAAGTATTATTTCAATGTAAATTTATGAATTGATAGGAAATACACTCTTAAATATTCATGGGTGAAAGGCCAAAATGTATGTAACTTAACCTCAAATAGTTCAGAAAAAAATGTATTTAAGTATACATGTATGTGGTGAGAGAGAGACCTTGCACAAGAGCAAGCAAATGATAAGGATATTCTTTGAACTATTTTTATTTTTGCAATTTTTTGTAAATTTTAAATTGTTTCCTTTTGTAAAGATTTATTTATTTATTTGAGAGAGAGAGCCTGGGCAAGTGTGGGGGGAGGGGCAAAAGGAGAGCATCTCAAGTAGACTCCCCGCTGGATCCCAGGACCCATGAGTTCATGACCTGAGCCAAAATCATGAATGGGACTCTTAACCGACTAAGCCAATTTTAAATTATTTCTAAGTAAAAATATTTTTTAAGAATTAAGTCCACCTTGGAGAAACAAGACCAACAAGAAAATAAAAGTTACTTTAAAACCCATCTAATAAGCAAATTGTCTTTAAAACATTCTCCAGTGTATACTAAGTTTTCAAGTTACTGTTCAAAATGTTCTCAAGAGTCTTCATTCTTTTGTAAAAGATGAACAGACCTATAGCTTTCACATTTTATCTAAATAAGTTAATATGTTGAAGCCAACATTCCATCAGTTGTAGCTTACTCGTTAGAAACAGCAGGAGGGAAAGAAAGCATTGAAATTACAAAACCTCTGTTCTCCACACTACCCATATTTACCATTCGTTTACTGGTGATTACATTCCAGTTTCCAAGTAAAACCTCAGATTTTAAATTATGACTTCAGTTGTACTGTTAAGACAAGTAGAGTATGCAGAGACACAAATGGACTGGGTGGAAAGGAGTGGGAGTAGGGCTGATGAATTCTTCACCATGTTGAAGATGAAAGAAAGCTGAAAACTTCTGCCCTAATTGAGTACCTAAATAATTGATTTCTTTTTTTCATAAAGTACATAACTATGTGGAGTATTAAAGTTTGGAGAAGGTATTCTTACTAGTTTTTACCTGTGAATTTGATAATCTGAAGTAAAAAGCACTTTTCACCCTTTAAAATTCAGCTCAATTATTTGCACCCCCTTGTGGTCAAACATAAACTTCTTGGTTTTCCAAAACATTTTTTCCAATTGGGCTTTTTGTTCAGGCATGGGAACCATGTTACTCGATTTAGTTTTCTCCCATTTTGGTGAATCGAGAAGATTTATAAAGGGTTTTGGTTTATTGAATAGTATTTTAAATAAAACAGGACTTAACTCTTCTAAAAGTGACCTCCATATAAACTTTAGTCTGTGCAAAATGGAGATTACACCAACCTCAAGAGTTACTATGAGGATTCAAGGGGAAAATGCATATACAGGCCTAACTGACACATAGTAGGAACTCAGTAAATGTTATTTACCAACAACATCATCACTTTAGAATTCTCTTGACAGAATATATCTAAAAGGGGACTAGATCAAAAATTTACCAGTTCATGAAGTTCAAGTACAATTGTGCAAATAAGTTCCCCAAATATACGACTTATTCAGATTACCACTAGCTGGTTCTCACCACAGATACATTTTTAAAGAACAAAGAATATGTATTTATCTCTGGATGATAGAAATTTTGATAGTTTTTACTTTATATTTTACTTTATATTTTAGACTGGCCTGATTTTCCCCTCCCCCCTTAATTTTAATAATTAGAAAAAGCAATAAAACTATTCCATTTCCATATGCATATTTTTTTGAAATTATAAGACTTAAATTAACATCCTTATTCATCTGGCAGAAACCATTACTCATATTTGGCGAAAATAATTTGTCAGGCTGATTTATCATTTTAAGGGACTTTTGAACCCAAATGCTTAACTGCTAATGGTGTTAACTTAAAACTTTTTAAAACACAAGTTGTTTTAAAAAGATCAGTGTTAATGACTCACAATAGCTAACATTTACTAATACACCAAACACTGTTAAAATGCCTTTACTATATTAGCTCATTTACATCCTTACAACCCAGTGAGATAACAAAAGAGCAAAGTGAGAAAAAGTAACTCACACAGGGTCACAAAGCTAGTTAGTAACAGAGCCGAGATCCAAATCCAGGCAGTTTGGTTCCAGAGTCCACGCACTTAACCAGTGCACAAAAGAACCATAGAGATGTAAAACAAACACTACTCTGCAATGTTACTTCTTGATGATCTCAAATTATTAAAATCCATTTCTTTTCTAATTCTACCTCAGTAATGCAAATCATGCTAGCCTTCTCCCATTTCCTTACTTCTTAGTACGTCAGGCACTTTCAATATCCATTGTCTTCTTTAACCCTCACAATGATATGTTTTTGTATACTCCTACAGTTATGTCCATCACAAGCTGTTTTGCAACAAAAACTGGGAAAAAATGTAGCAATACCCCAGATTTTAAATTGTTGGATTCTTTAGAAAATGTATTATAACTTGGGATCAGGAAAAAAGTAACCAAAAATAATCTTAAAATGTAATAATTTAGAATCAATGGCAGTGGTTTTGTTTTCATTTTCATCTTAACTAGCCTGGTGGCGGGTAGGATAACTCTCCCAAGCATATGAATGATTAAAAGAGGTTTTTAAGGAAGGTGTTAAAATACTGACAACTCTATCATCATTTATTGTCCTATCTTAGCGTCCAGTTTTTGAAGGTGAGCACAGATTTGCCTAGGTCTTGTGCTTATACTTACTAGTTTTAAGATTTAGGGGCAAATTTCTTAATCTGAGTCTCGGATGTCCTCATGTGTAAAATGACGATAATACCTTCTTAATAGGGCTGTTGTGAGCAGCAAACATCATCAATCCGTAAAGCGTTTATTTAGCACTGTACCCAACGAGACTACAGTCAGTACGTGATATCTAGCTACTATTATTAATGTGTCGCACAATGGAAACCCGTCTTTGGTAGTTTCGGTTCCCTTACCACCCTTAAAAGACATACACACACACACACACACACACACTAAGTGATGGCCAAAGATTGCCCATTCACCTCTCCAAAACAGAGCAGAACATTTAAGAACAAGTGAGACAGTGAGAGAAACTGGACTGGATGAAAGCGCCTTCGTAACAGGCAGCCTAGAACCGGGAAGAAGAGCTCCAACGCACTTAAGTAATCCTTAACTCCAGACGCGCGCGAACGCATACACCGCACACACCACACACACACACACACACACACACACACAATTGTTGAGCAGGGGAAACCACGCCTCCTGTGCGTGCTCAGGTTGCATCGCACAGTAAGATAGAGAATGGCCCATGTTCCAGAATCTGACAGATGCGGACTCATCCACGTGCTTGCTACCTGTGTCTCCTAAGGCAAATTACTTAGAAGTCTCTGAACCTTGCTTTCCTGGTCTGCAAACCGATAATAGTAACAGTACCTACCTCATAAAGTTGTTCTGAGGCTTAAGTGCAATAGCTCCTGTAAAGCGTTGACACACAGCAAGTGCTATACACACAGGCGGGCTGTTTTTAAGCACACGTGTATCCACACACAAGGTCTTAGAGACACATTCCGTTGTTAGGAGTTTAGACACTGGCAATAAAACGCTTTTCTTTTCGCCTAAGCTGCACCTTATTTGTTTTCCTCGAACAGTAGAATAATACCTATCGACTGACATGTCATCTATGGACCCCCGGGCCCACAGTCGCACCGTTCCTCCACGTCCGCGGCTGAGCAAAGGAGCTGCACGCACGCGCAAGAAAGGAGGTCGGAGGAGTGAGACTGAGGAAACGAAGTGAGAGCGGCGAACAGCGACGATTCTGCGCATGTTCAAGGCGCGGAGGTTGGTAGGAGTTTGCGCATGAGCAGAAGTGTCGGGAAAGCTGGAGAAGGGTTCGGAGGCGGTATTGACAGCTGTGGAGGCAGCCCGCGTTCCCGGCATGCCCCGGGGCGGCGGGGTTGGCTCTAACGAATTTGAATGAGGAGCCTCAGCGCTTTCGGCGCCATTTTCGAGTGATGCCTGATCTCATCAATCTACTGGGAGAGACGGGATAACCTGTCCGAGATTATAGCGCTATTAGGACTCCGCTGAAAAATCACTAAAAAAATCGCCAAAAATTACTTCGAGCAAAGGGCAGTCTGTGGGGCTTCGCCAGGGTTGGCGCAGACGGTAAGAACCTGAAGAAGTAATAGCGGGACCTGGGAGGTGGCAGCGGTGGGACCGTCAGGCGATGGGGGTGCAGGGAGTGGGCACTGGGTCCGCCCTCATTTTAATGGCTAAAAATGCGAGGAGATGGGGTTGGGGGTAATTGGGTGTCTGGGAGTGGGCGGCGGCGGGCGGAATGTGGCGGGAGCGCGGAGAGACGGGGGTGTGGGGGGAGGGGAGTTGCAGTTTGAGCGGGACGCGGACGGGCTGCGGCGGAGCAGCCGCCGCCCAGCGGATCTGTCAGCCGGACCCCCCGCCCGGGGCGCGGCGGGGCTCCGCAGGCCGCGGCCCCTTGACAGGAGAAGGGGGACGAGCGTCCCCTCCCCCATTTGCCGAACCGAGCCGTCTTTTATCGCAGTTTTCCCGGCCCGCTGACTGCCGTCTTCTCGTGACATGAAACTTAAGGTCGGCAGAAAATTAACCCGGAGTGGCGGGTGCCTCCAGTCCGTCGTGCGGACTTATCGTCCGCGGGACCCAGCACTGTATATTGTGCTTGATGCTGAAGTGTGAGGTGCCCTAGGAATGTGAGTTTCACAACGTAGCTCTCCGGCTCTGCGCTCCTCGGTCCCGGCAGGGATAACCCTGACGGTGTCTGGCTTTTCCAATTTGGGTGAGATAGGGCGGGGGCAGACTTTTGAGGTTTTAGCGGGCTCCTAGGAAAGATGCTGGACTTTCGCTTTTTGCTCGGGATTTTTGTCATTTGCTCTCACGGTGTTGTTTTTTTTCGGGGAGGGGCCGGGGGGAGACAGGGTTTCGAGCTTGCAATTTCCTTCACCCAGTTGCACTTTTCTTAGAAGACTTTTTCCTTCTCCAGTCTTTGAAACATGTCGCAAGGATAAAAGCAATCTGTGAAACTATTGATGTTTTCCTCCCGAAAAGTCTTAGCCCGGACAACTTAACGGTAATTTTGCAATCCCCACCTTTTCTCGAGAACTCTCTTGACTCTGAGGCGGAGGGAAGAGGGCTGTTATTTGTCTTTCCCTTTAGTGATTTTTTATCCTCATAGTTTCTACCAATTCTTAGTCGACAACTCTTGAATGATTTGGGCCAGCGACGGCTTTAACTTTAAGTAGTACTTTATAAATAATGGCCTTTGTAAAAATTCCTCATTAGAGATATATTAGGTTTTGTGTCTTTTTCGGCGCTGAAGGCACCACTGATTAACCCTTTACTGGTGTGGTGTTTTGCGTGTGGGGTGCGCGGCTTTGGGTTGCGAATGTGCAGGAGATGGGTTTTGCAGCAGCTTTTCAATTGTTCGCAAAGAGGAATAACGCTTTCTGGGAACCGCAGTCTCACACTCTTTAGGACCACCTGCCTAAAGAGTTTTTCCTCCTGGAATTGATGTAACGATTGATCGATTTCTTATTTCTATAAAGACTAGAGGACCCGCCCTCATTTAGAATCTATCCCCGAGGAGAATAGGGGAGCGCAATGTGATGTTTTTCAAATTTTATCTAACGGAGTTCCCAAAACACCGGACTTGTTACCCCCCCTGATTGGCTGGCAGAGAGCGAGACTGGAGGGGGTTTGAATGTTGAACACTAGATTACAATTCTCGACTTTCCGAAAAATTTTACTTTTAGAGAACCACGGAAATAGGAAACGTTAAGACGGGGATTGGGAGGGGGAAAGCTGGGATTCAGTATTTTTTTCTTCCATAAAGGACTTTCGAATGGTTCTGAAATGTATATTAAAAGTAAAACTGAGGAGGCAGTTTTCTTAAAAAATGTAATTCTGCTGGCTGAAATTGCAAGACTTTTATGTATTTGCCCCTGTTCTCTTTTGGTTAAAAACTGTACGATCTAGGTTTTTTATTTCTTTAACAAAAATTTTTCAGCTTAAGCTACATATTCGATGCAGATTACGGGAGAATTGTTTCTTTTATTTTGATGAAAAGAAACTTTAATTTTCTTAGGAATGAGCTTCTCCACATTGCCCATAAAAATTGGTGTATTTAAATTTTTTTTCACATCTAACTTAAAATACATGGGTTTTGCTAATTCAGCCATTGCTGTGGACTTAAAACTTAATTTACAAGAAATTTACGTTGCTTAATTATACAGTACAACAGGTAAGTATGCACAGGTGCCTATGTATGATTTCATTCCTTTGATAAATTCACTGTGAAGAAATATATTGCATAAAACAGTGTCGGTGTGTTGTGTCTTACTTGGTTGGTTTTCAGTTGATTTTTGTTTAATGTTGCTTGAGACAGCCGTCAATATATTTCTATTTATTACCAAGCTTGTCATTCCGTTTAATTGCATCTTGATAAAAGGCGGGTGTGGTTTTCAAAGAAAATCGGTAAACTCAGTGATAAATAAGATAGCTGTAGATGCTTTTTTAAAGATTTTTTTAATTTAATAGAAATTAATGTTCTTTTATGAATAGCGGTTGAAATTTTGAAACTTACAGTTTATATTCTCACATTAGATCAAATATGCATTGTTAGAAAATACTCAAATGAAAAGATCCCATGACTTTTATAAATCTCTGTAGGGCTATAAATATAATTTATATTGAGTGGAATAGCTGAATTTATAAATCATACTATTTTGTATTGCCTTTATAACAGAATTGCAATTACAGAATCTTTGTTCATTACCTTTTTTCAAAGCTGTTTATTTTGAATCATCTCATGAAAATTTCGTGAAAAAGGTGCTAATTATCCTCTCTATGAAATTTGACTTAATGAAGTTGTAGGAGACCCCATTTCTATTGTAAATGTAATTTTACCTATGATACCAGATCTAGTGGGTTTTGCTTTTTTACTGTTATTTGGGGTTTTGTGTTTTAATTTTCATTCAAATTGTTATGTGACTTGTAGAGTTTTGAGGGTGGGGTGGGGGAAGGCTTTAAATTCCACCAGGCTGGTTAAATTTAACCATACTTTTTTAGTACTTTGGTTTATGGGGTTTTTTGTTTGTTTTGAGGGGTGATGGTGAAGGATTGTTTTGTTTAATAAGCCATTTTTTAAAAAAGTGAAAGATTCCTTTATTTAAACTACTGCACGTAAAGCTTGAGAATGCACTAGCACCTAAATAAAATCCACAGCATTCAAAATATTTTCCCTTTTATGTGATGCTAGATAAGAGGAAGATTTGGGTTTTTAGATTTGTGGGCATGTAGGCGTGAGATCCAACAGATGTATTTTATTATGTGTATTATCCATATTACTCTGTGGAAATTGATAATTATAATTCATTTTCTATTGTGAGGACTATAAAAGTCATATCACTGGAAAACAATGGTGAGGAAAGGTGTTGCTACAGTAGCTCTACTCTTTTTAAAAGCTGTGTTTATATAATGTGAGGGAGAGGGAACTAGAGAAGGTAAGGTGCTAGTCTTCCTGGTAGCACTGATTTTTATTTGTTTGCCTTTCATAGTATTTTTAAAACCTCAAATAAAAGTGCAGTTTTAGACTTTGTTTTAGTGCTGTTAACTTCTCTTAGTTGTACATTTACAAAATGTAGCTTCAGGTGTTTGCATGTAAAACCGCATTTTTTGTAATCAGATTAATATCACTTTTAATGTTACCAAGAACTGGAACTAAGGATGAAAATTTCAAAATAGCTTTCGTATTCTGGATCCCCTGTTTCATCATGCTTTGTGTACTACATTTTTGTTTGGTTTTTGTTTTGTGAAGATGTGTATAAATACACATTTCTGTTTATTGGTATGCAGTAACTATTCAGAATGTCACAATATACTTCCATCCAGAAATATTGATAGTGTTCAGTTAATTTGGTTTACAAAAAGAAGAAATAAATGCCCAGAGACTGTATTAGATATTTCTTCTACATACATAAGTTTTTTCCAATTAAATCAATAAGACACACAATTTGGAAGTTAATTCTATAAAAATTTATCTCATTTAAAAAAATTAGTGGCCTAAAATTTGCTCTTGTCTTTTTTTCCTTTTGTTTAGTGAAGCTTAATAATTCCCACACTGATTTTTTTTTTTTAACCCTTGTTTGGAAGAAACATTATTGGTCTTATAACTAGAAAACACTTCTTAGAATTGTCATACTAGAGTATTCATTTACATGTAGTTTTATTTCTTCCTGTTATTAATTTTTATTCAACAAACTTAGAAACACTTTGTCCAGGCAACTAATTTTGGCATGTAATTAGGCTCAAACTATGACTTGCTGAAATTTGGTAGCCCCAAATCTCTTTAAGACCAAAGGAAATAGTAATAACCACCGCTTTCTTTCAAATAAGTGAAGAAAATTAGATTAAGCCATTTTTGCTTTAAGTTTTTACAGGTGACAGTATTAGAACTTTAAAGTCGTGATTGTCTTAATATTATAAGAGTAACATCAGTTTTAGAATATCACATTACTAATACATGTTTACATACTTGTTTGCATATACAAATAATTGTAAAGCCTTCATATAAATATTGCTTTCTTATAGGGAAATGATTTTCTTTTGCCTTTTTCCCCCCTTCTTGTCTGCCTCCTTTTAGGTTCTCCTTTGACAAAGACAAGTTTCAAATATTGAAATTGACATTAAATATATATATATGAATTTTATTCTTAACATTTTTTATCAATTATGAGAAGTTTAATATACTTTGGTTTATTCCTGTCTTGTTTCACTAAAAAATCTTTGCACTGGAAAGACTTTGCACTGGATTCTAAGTATAAATAATAAACTGTATTTTGTAATAGATTTGACATCGAATTATACTATTTCGGGGTTGTTTTTTTTTTTTTTTTTTAAAGATTTTATTTATTTATTTGAGAGAGAGACTGAGATAAAGAGAGCATGAGAGGGGGGAGGGTCAGAGGGAGAAGCAGACTCCCCGCCGAGCAGGGAGCCCAATGCGGGACTCGATCCCAGGACTCCAGGATCATGACCCGAGCCAAAGGCAGTCGCTTAACCAACTGAGCCACCCAGGCGCCCCATATTTTCGGGGTTTTTTAACATCTTTATTTCTTATACATTTGGTTTAATATTTGTCTTATATCCGAACCTCTTTTGTTCTTTATTATCTAGTATTTGTTGTTTTCCTGCTATTTAAAAACTTAACATTTGGCATGGAGTACATACTGGTTTCTACTGTTACCCTTCTGTGATTTTTAAAGTTACAATACCTTAATTTTCAGAGTGCTCAAATACAGAAAACTTTGTGTCTTTTGAGGAAGACTATGTAGAAATGATTTTAATTTTTCAAAGTGTCATGGTATTTGGATTGGTGTTTGTGAGTTACATATGTGTGGTTTTTGTCATTAAACAATCAAATATTTGGCAGCAGAGGATTAAAGGTTTTGGTTTTCATTTCTTTTCCTAAGCTATTCTTAAATAAAAGTGGAAAACTGAGCATTATGGTTAACATATAGTATGTTATAAGCCTTTGGTAATTTAACTTTATAATTTTAGATAGTTGCCACTAAATCATTAAGATTCAGGTGAAACAAATGAAGAAGCCACTTGTATACACTTGATTACACCACGTCTGCTTGGAAATAGTAAAAAACCATTGGCCCAATAGTCATCCACTTGTTACTTATAAATATTTTGTTTAAAAAGTTAATTGCAAATTTTGTTCTGTTAGAACTGTAATGTCTTAAAATATTTGGAAATACCAGTATAATTTGTTCACTCGGGCAAGGCAAAAGACAAAACTTAAGAATAATGGTAATTTCTGTCATCAGAATGTTTGATGATTTGGGGAGAAAGGTAGTTAAAAATCTATCTCTGTCCTTTGAATAGTCTTTTTAACTGTGGATTTTATGAGTTTTAGAAGCACAAACTATATTTCTGATATATTCCTTATGGAGTTCCCTTTAACAGTCCTCCAACACTTACCTACACACACACACACACACACACACCACAATTTTGAAAATGAATGCCCTAAAGAGAAATGAAAGCAGAAACATATTAATCTGATTTGTTTGAAGAGGCTTCAGATGATAAAGCATATCACAGGTGTTTCTAATCAAGTTATTTCTACTTAAAAACATTATTTTCAAGTTAGGTTTTCTTTGAACACAGGCAAGATTGGGGTCATTTTGAAGATTTTACCTCAGTGTTCAGGGATCAGCTGTGGAACTACAGGAGGCGGAAATCTGTTGAGTGTCTTCATGCTATAATACATGACATTTTTATTGCAGGTTTTGACCTTTAGGAGAGAGCCAATTCTGGAGAACAACCTAACTTCTTTGATTGAACACTCACATAATGCATTGGAACATGATAGGAGATTAAGGTATACTAATGAATTTTAAAAGCAAACTATTTTATATCTTTGCAATATAATTGAACTAGACAGTAAAACTAGAACTTTTAAGTGAGCTAAAATCAATAAAGATTTATTATTAATAGAAATCTGTGAAGTGGCCAAGGTGGACTTCTCTTGCTTATTAAAACTGCAAATTTTTAGATATAATTGATATTCTCATCATGTTTTATTAGGTCCAGTTCCAACTGAATTTATTCTAAAAATAAGTACATATAGTGATTTTTCTTAAGGTTATTACACTGTTATATATATAGAAGAATTAAATAGTGGACTTTTCATCTTAAAATGGAAGATTTAAAATAGAATTTGGTGCTTGGCTCTTTGAGAGGTATAGTGATAGGTAGAGCCTATAAGATAAGATTAATGAGACTATTTTAAGAGAATTTAGAGTATTCCAAATACCATCCTAACCAAAAGTGGCATTTTGGTTGAAACTGAAAAACCCACTTTCTAAAGCAGAAACTAGTATCTTACTCATAGGTACTCTGAGTAAAATATTTAAATTATTCATATCAAAAATTGCAAACTCTAAAAATGTAGAATGCCAAAACTTCCAGTAACTTATTTTTACCTCCAAAATACTTTATCATAAGAGCCACTTTTCTAGTATATTTATTTTCTTTGATTTTTATAGTTTTAGTTGAAAGTTTCAGATACTCACCTAATAAAAATTTTGATTGCTAAATAGCGATCTGGTATAATGTAAATGAATTTATTGAACAATATTACTAAGTATTGATTAATTTTTCCATGGTAAAAATATTAGTCACATGATAAAGTATTAACCATAATGTTTTTTTTAAAAAAACTATTTGCTAAAGTGAGGTCTACTAAAATAAAGCATACTACAATTTTTTCTTTAAATTTTTTTTCACCTAAAAATATTTACTTTATATACTTAAGATACGGGAGATAAAGATTTGTTTTCTTAAGAAAAATGTAATTTAGTCTTAAGAGTGAAGTGTAATTGTGGTCATAGAACTGCTTGTATCTTTAAACAACGTTCAGTTTTTTTTCAAACAAATTCTCTAATGTGTGTTTGAACATTGAGATATGTATCAAAATATTAAAAAACTAATATTTGATATTTATTATTAGATACTAGATAATCCAAGAATGTGAATCCATTAACAGTTAATGTTAAATAAAATATTAAAATTTAAAAGAAATTCAGTTTAATGTAAGGGTGAAGTTTCAAGTATTGGTGTCATACTGTAAAGTGTCACTATACTGTTTGAGATAAATATAAGTTATAGAACGTCTTCATAACTTAGATTTGAGAATGTTGTGAAAAAGCAACTTAGTTTGAATAGGATGAAAATGAATACAACTTTCCCCCTCTAATTTAACCATTGATTTTCAGATTAGACAACGTTAAGATGAAAAGTGAAAAATATGGTTTCTGAGTGTCTGGGAAAAAAAAAAAAACTAGATTCAATTTATCACTTTCAATCCAGATATCTTTTACACACCAGCCTACTGTTAAATGGAGGAAGAGAGATAGCTTTTGAGTTCATATTTTAAATAAAGACATAAATCCACAGAGTTGTTTCTAATTTAGAGTGTTTATGATTTTTGATCTTTGAAGTTGTCAAAACTTACTGCTTGAACACAAGTATTTAGCATCATAAAATCATGCCTCTATAGCTGTACACTGGCTTATAAACTTCCAGATTTTTAGCTTCCTAAATAATTTAACATCTAAGAGACCTGATGCAGATATTAATAGATTTCTTGTATTTGGTCAGCTTTTACAGGGTAAGAAACTTTAACCTAATTAGTAGTATGTGTTATTTTAGAAGACAGGTTAATAAAGGCTTTTACTGCTATGTGTGACTGGCTAGCCTTTAACTACCCCTCAAAGGACATTTTCTACTTAAATTTGCAAACCTGATTATATCTAACTAAGCCTTGATAAGTAGTTTATTATGTCAAGATTTGGAGGAAAGGATTTACTGTGTTATTTTTTTTTTTCAGTGATAGACTTCTTATTTGTGCAATATTTATATTTTTGGTTAAATGGATTTTCTGGGTTAAATAACATTCATTTTCAGGAAAAATTCTTAATTGTTCCTAAAATACAGTTATACTGTCAGTATTCCTGTTTTGTTGAAATAGATTTTCTTAGGGGGAAAGAATATTTTGGATAAACTAGAATAGAAGTAATTTAACATGCCTACATGTGAAGGGACTTGAAATTATTCATTATTTGTCATTGATGTATAATTCTAGTTTATAAGGACAACATATTTTAAGCAATTTCTTAGCTGTAACAGCTTCTTTTATTGAAATTTTGTAATGTTGCTGAGGATTCATTAAAGAATAGACAATTAACTTTCTTAAATTTTTTTTAAATGTTCGAAGCAATTTTGTGTGTATTTTGTGTTGTTTCTTGACCAACAAATAAAATACATACTTAATCTGTTTTTTTCTTTTCAGAATTTTATTTTCTAAGCATCTTCAAAAGGCATTAATTAATGAGATGATTTAAATTTTTCAGTAAATATTTTGAAGTAGAAATTCAGTCCTTAGCACCACAAACCACACTTGATATTTCATTAACATATATGATTTGACTTAGTTTTACTTTCTTGTTTCATGATTAGAGTCACTTGGAAGAGAAACTTGTAGCATATTTCAAATATAGTTCCTAAGACTGATTAATCCACTGGTTAATAGTTTATTAATTTATTACTGTTTTGTTAATGTCTTAATTTTTAAAAATCCTTTTTTGATATTTGCTGTCAGTGTTTTTTCATTCTGTGGCTTTCATAATCAAAGTAGTAATTTTGTTATCCTGTGATCCTCAGAATTATTTCTTTTATTAGCATTATTTGTTTTTGGACTGCTGCTAAGGAGAACAATTGTTTTTGCAGTTTTGATAAAAATAAAAGATTGGTTTTTTCCCCTTTTTTCCCAAAATATTTTGATCTGAATTTTTGATATTACTGTATTTTATACTTTTATTTTAATAAATCCTAAATCTAGCCTTCTTGACTAGATCTTATTTAGACTTATAAGCCAATTCTAGCATTTTAAAAAATAATTTATAGATGTCCTAATTTTTCTGACTTTTTAAATATTTTTCAGAATCAAAAATTGCTTAAGGTATTAAAAGATAAGGATTGCATTTAAAATTGAAGTTATAAGTCCATAAATAGCATTCCATTTAAATTTAATTTGGCAGAATAAATATTTCTATGTTACTCATCATTGATCTTACGTACTTACTAAGTTTTTAGCTTTGTAGTACACATTTAAAGTAGATAAATTACATGTGGGAATTTTTTAATAGTTGGAGTTTTTGTTAAAAAATTTTTATGGGCTAAATCTTATTTCTTTGTTAATAGGGTCTGATGTCAAACATATGGTGATGATTAGATACGTGGAACTTGGGAGCCTGGAACATTTTATAAGCAAAATATAATTTCATTTCTTGGTTAAAGTTTAGGTACTTATTTTCCAGTAGAATGGATAGGAAAGATAATACGAATTTATGAATTCATGCCAAACCTGGTGAAAACTCTTCTGAGAAGAGTTTTAATTTAAATCTAAATTAGGAGCTGAAGATCATTACATGTGTCATTAATTTTTTTCCTTAGATACCTTATAGATTGCCTTTCTGATCAAAACGCTAATTTTGTCTTTTCTTCTCTTCCCATCCTACTTTAACGAAAAAATTTCTCCTTAGAAAATTTTATCATATAGTGATGAAAGCCGACCTGCTAGGTAGGTTGGACTAGAACCATTTTGTCTTCTGTGTCAGTTGCATATGCTTTTCTTAGCTTGCTGCTCTAGCAGCAGTAGCAACAACAATGAATAAACAAGTATCTCCACAGCCCTTGTTCTTGTCCCTTACAGCTGGGTGCAGGGGCTGGGAGATTGCTACTGCTTGTCAGCTGTTGTACAGAATAGCATCAATATGCAATAATGGTGGCCAAAGGAGCCTGCACCCACCAGCTTTTACAGACCAGGTAGGAAGGGCCCAACTGTCATTATAACCCATATATAGTATAATGAATACATTCTTTGACTAAAAGGTACTTTCTTCCCAAAGCTGCATAAAGAAAACAGTAGTTGCTTATAGTTCTTAGACTTTGTATTATTTTCTATTATTTACTCTGTGATTTTAGTTCATTTAATTTTTAATCAGTTAATTCCATCTGTTTGAATGGAAAACCATCTTGCTTCTGGAAGTATGTATGGTATGTTTCATGTTTTTTACTTTTAAGCTGATAGATTGAAAAAAATTATTAGTTACTGAGAACACAAGTTAGGTGTTAGAGTAAGAAAAGAAAAGTTGACTATGGCCACACAGGAGTGTTTCTTTCACTTTGGAGCCATATTCTGAGCCTGTATTATCTTTGTTTTATAGCCCAGTCTAAACAAGACCAAATTCTTGTTGATTTCACTATAACTAAAAAAGAATACCCCATGCTGCTTAGTGTTGTACTTAAAGACAAAGCAGGCTGCAGCTGGAAACTCATTAAGTCTTTACTTTTTCTGATTATTAAAATAATGTTGTATATCTGAACTTTATATCTGGAAGTTCAGATTATTCTAAATCTTTCGGAAATAGGGCTTTGTAATATCAAATGATACAAAAGGGTTGTGTTTTTTTTATTTTTACAACTTGAATCTGCACACATTTGCATAACCTAAATATCTGTGCATTTTTCTCATCTTATGTATCTAAATAAAATTACAATAGGTTGTAGTTACAGGGAAGTGAATATTAGATTGCTGTTCTCATAGTTCTGATTTCATTTGTAGCATTCTAGTCAGGAAACTACAAATGACATTTTATTTTAGTTTATAAGTCTAATGTCCCATTTTAAAGTCTTGACATTTGCAGTAGCATTCTTTTAAAAAGGTAATCATTGTTTTTCCTTGGTCACCTTCATTAAAATCACAACTAATCATTCCCACTCTTAATGTTTTCCATTACCAATAACAGCAAACTCAGAATATGAATTTCCTCCTAATACTATCAAAACAGGCTTTGTTGTATGTGTTTAATTATCTGAAATAATAAATGAGCCTAAAACCTGGTCTAATGTGAAGTCAAACATATTCAACCATAAATTGAAATTACTTTTTTTTTTGCTAATACTGGGATGTTTGATGTAATTTATGTTGTCATTTAACAGATAACATTTTAATTAGCTGCCTGCTCTTAATTAAAAAGTGAGTTGCAAAATCCTTTATATTTAAAACACCTTGTTTTTACTATGAATTACTACATTAAGTGTCTATGGACCACCTGTATCAGAATAACTTAGAATAAAGCATTTTACCAGACCTGCTGAATCAGATTCTCTGGAGCCCCGGGACTCAGGAATTTGTATTTTTTACAAGCTCCAAGTGAGTTTTTTTAGAAGCACCACATGTGAGGAGCACTGCCCAGAATGAAATGGGGGAGGATTCTTCCCAGTAATAAACCATTTATATTTTCTGCTCCCCCCATCCCTGCCCTCTTTGGTCATTGTGGATCTAAGCTCAGTAACTAATTCTGAATCTTATCATTTCTACCACAGTAGTTCTAGATTAAGTCTTGGTATTTCCTCAATCATATGAGGAAAATCTGTATCATGAGAGGTTTATTTTTGTGCAAGTACCTTGGGGCAAATTTTAGTCTCTTTTGTTTAGAACATTTAGTATACCTATGTTAGACCTACACTTGATAAAAACAGAAGGATTTGATCACTTAAGAATTTTGAAAATATTCCTTTAGATAGTAGCTATTTTTCTTAAATGTACTTTCAAATATTGGAGAAAATGAACTTTTCATATGCTCCTTGTGGGAGCATCTGACATTATCTGAGTAAAATTGAATATACATAGGCTTGAACCCAACAATTCCATTCCTAGATGTTCTAAAAAAGCTGAGACATGTATAGCAAAGTCTTGTTTACTTTTATTTTTAATAGGAAAAAATCAAAAGCACTGTAAACATTAAGCAACAGGAGAATGCCAAATTGTGGCATAGTCATATGATAAACTGTTTATTATACTGCTATTAAAATGAGAGCTCTGTGTATGATCATGAATGAATGTCTTCAGCAAACAAAAACAAGTGCAAAAGGTTATATATTGTATAATAACATTTATATAAAGTGTGTATATGATATAACATTTAAATAAAGCTTGAAAACAATGATAAATGTTTTAAATTTACAATAGTAGTGGTGTAAAAGCATGCATAGGAAATAAATACCAAATTCAAGGTTGTGATTTTATGTTAAGAGAGAGGAGAATGGGATCAGGGTATGGTACAAAAAGGATTCAACTATATGTATTGTCTTTTTTCTTAAAAAAAGACACATAAAATAAGCATGGCAGAATATTAGAATTCAGTCAGAGGGCCAGGGGTAGGATATGGGGATTCATTTTGGTATTGTCTTGATTTTTTTCCATGGATTTGAAATATTTTTTCAAATATATCAAAAAATGTGCTGTCTTTATTTTGGTGAAGATATTCTACAATAAGATGTGTACTTAGAATGCTCCATTAAAAGCATCGATGAGTTTATTCTACTTACTCTATTCTGTATTAAGTGCTTAAGCATTAGTTGGTGTAAGAACTACAACTTACAGCCATGGCCCACAGAAAGTAAACATTCTAACCAGTTTAAGTTAGGATATTTTTAAATTTTTTCATTTTTAAAGATAAGCTGTAATGTTTCCTTTCTTTGCATACTAGCTTTTTTTTTTAATATTTATTTATTTGACAGAGAGAGAGACAACAAGAGAGGGAACACAAGCAGGTGGAGTGGGAGAGGGAGAAGCAGGCTTCCTGCTGAGCAGACAGCCCGATGAGGGGCTCGATCCCAGGAGCCTGGGATCATGACCTGAGCCAAAGGCAGACACTTAAAGACTGAGCCACCCAGGTGCCCCTGCATACTGGCTTTTAATACTTCCTACTCTTGTAAATAAAGGACAACCTTGGAAACAATTTTTCTTATCACTACCATTCCATTTTTCACGCAATTTCATAATAGTATTTTCTTTTGTTATGGGTATAGATCATAACATTATTTTCAGACATTTCTTTAAGCATTTGAAACTCCAACTTAAGCTCTGTATTTATACTGTTATTACAGTAGAATTCTTGGACAATATATGGATTTTTAGACTTTGCAGTTGTATACATGTGTGTATTTATGTGCGTGAGAGAGACTAGTCAATCTTGAGGTATGATCTTGAATTTATCTTAAAATATCTGCAATTATGTGATGTCCTCTAGAAACTCAGTGTGTTCCAAGTTAGACACTGAAGTATGAGTTTTAGTTGCACTTACATATTTGACTTTTAAATTTTGAGAAGGTAATAGTAATAGAAAAGTGAATTTAAAAAACTAATGATAACACTCCAGACTAAAATATACAAATGCTGCTGGGTGTTTATAATCTGTGATTGTGCTATATCAGAAAACCGTGATTATCAACCCCAGTTGAAATTTTTCTAATTTAAATAATGTGATCAAATTTTTAAAGTCTTCACTCTTATTTTTTTCCTAGGTTTAATAATGATAAAATGAAGACCATAATAAAACAGTCCCCCTACTTAGCCCAGCAATTCTTACCTTGTAAGTATTAACTCTCAGTTAATATTTAGTATTAACCTCGGTCATTGCTATAAAAAGTGTTTGGTTACAGGTTTTGCTTTATTTCTGAAATTTTTCCTACTATCCTAGATTGACAACATTTTTTTTAGAGCGAGCGGGGGGTTGGGGGGGCAGAGGGAGAGAGAGAATCTTAAGCAGGCTCCCATGCTCAGTCTGATGCAAGACTTGATCTCATGACCTGAGCCGAAATCAAGAGTCGGACGCTTAATCAACTGAGCCAACCAGGCACCCCTAGATTGACAACTTTCTGACCTCCCCTTACCTCCTACACATTGAAGTTTGATATTAATTTAATCCAATTTAGAGCGAGAATAATGCCATTGCTTTGGGTAAGTTTCGATTTTGAGAAGTATTTTACAGCCAGGCCCTATCATCTCTAAATCTGAGAATCACAATTTTAAACACTTTTCCTTCAAATGAATTTATACATAACTAATTATCTTTTTTATTATCATCATTAATCAGACTTACAGTTATTTTATGGTTTTATAAATTGGAAGTATTTTCTTCACTTGAAAAATAGTTTTTTTATTTATTTTTGCATTTCACTAGATTGCACTGCAGACTTTTTTGTGAGATACTTAAAATTTAACTTTTAAACTTCAGAAGGTAGGAAAAACCAGGAAGGCAATCACTTTTCCTTCCTTTGATATATGCACATGCACACCTTTCTGAGAATAAGAAACATTTTTACCCTGATTGATATAACTTTTGAGAAACTTTTTATTTTATTTATTAGAGAGTGAGAGAGAGCGTGCATGAGGAGAGGGAGAAGCAGACTCCCTGCTGAGCAGGGAGCCCGATGTGGGACTCGATCCCAGGACCCTGAGGTCACGACCTGAGCAGAAGGCCAGACGCTTAACCACCAACTGACCTATCCAGGTGCCCCGAGAAACTTAAAAATTCTAAGGGAAAAACTCTTACAGGTTAGCTGAAATTAATGTCATACCCGTAGAAAAACTCTCAAATCAAGGTCATCATAACTATGCAAGATAACTATTTTCCGGATATCAGTTACCAAAAAGATTCGTTTCTATCTATTCCTTGAGCTAATTCTATATCTCTAAATAAAAGAAACTCAAGTGCATCTGTTTTCTGTCCTTGATGTTGAAGGATGGCCCATTTAAGTGAAAACTAGTGCATCAGATTCTCCTCTTACCTCATCTAATACCATTGCATTAGTGACTTGGTAAATAATGTATATGTGTTGAGAAGTGACCTTATGATCATAGAAGATCAGCCACTGAACTCAGTAAATAGTTTTTAGGGTAGAAAAAAATTAAATATTGAAAACTTTTATTAATGAGCCAGTTTGAAGAGTAGTAGTCAAAAACCACAGGTCACTTCTTTAATTTTTTCCTTTTTATATTTTTGTCTCTGGAAAACTAGAATGGAAACATTTACAAATCCCCAAAGAATCCCATATAGCCCTGGCATAAGTTCCTTAATTGGTCCCTTGGAAGCCAGCTCAGTTTTACTTCAGCTTAACTCTTAGAAAAAGAAATCTTTTTGATTGGTATTGCACTCCTACTGTGGACCGGGGAGCAGTCAACTTTTCAAAAAGAAATAGGTATCATTTCACTCCTAACAGATTTATAAGCATAGATAACATCACATTCCTAATCTTATTTCATCTCCTTTATAAACTTCTAAGCAAACAGCCTTTCTTGGATAATGTCCAGCATCTTTTAAAGATAGGTTCATTTGCTATATTTTATAATTGGAATGCTTTCTGTTGTCTGTTCTAGGAAGTATGTCTGGAGTTCTCTTTAATCTGAGTTATTAAAATGGTGATTTTCCAATTAAACAGTACCCAGAAAAATAGGTACATAATGATAGTGATTATAATTATGATTATGATTATGTGTGTATATCCCCTCTTCTGTCATTCTCTTATGTTTGTTTAATGCCATTCTTTCTTTAAGAAAGGGATATTTTTTAAGCTGTTCCCCACTTGTGGAATTGGGTATTCCAGAAGTTGTAGAATATTGGTGTTTCATATATTTGATGCTGTCAGAATTAAATAATTGCAGTGTTTTCGGTTCGTTTTTATATATTGGGTTCATTTTTATATATTTTATATATTTGTTACTTAACATTAAACATTCAGAAATCATCATATTTCCTTTTTTTCCCACTTTTTCTTCTTTGAGCGGTGTTTTTGGTTTTTTTATGTTGCAGTTTTAGGTACTTAAATTATGTATTTCTGTTATATAAACTTAAAATAACTAGATATATCATTTGGTGCTAAATGAAAGAACACCTTTAGATGCACTGTTAACAGTTAAGATCATTGCTTCTTTTTAATCTACAACAACAAAAATTTTAAGACACTGACTTTCTAAATAAGAAACAGAAGATAAAGCAGAAAATTCATTCAGGACTGTCATTTTTAGTCCTATAAAAAAAGGTCATGGAAATAAGTTACCTTGTAATTCAGGAGACTTATTATTTGCCTCCTATCAAGAACTAGTCTAATAAATAGAAATGACAAAAAATTATTTCTTACATTGGACTATCCAGATAAGTTTTTAGAAATGTAATCTTACTATATTAGAAAATAGTGTCGGTTCTTGAATTATAAATAATGTAGGAGCACCTGGGTGGCTCAGTCAGTTAAGCATCTGCCTTCAGCTCAGGTCAGGATCCCAGGATCATGTTCCCAGAGCCCTGGGATCAAGGGCTCCAGAGTGCCCCCTCCCCCATGTTCTCTCTCTCAAGTAAGTAAAATCTTTCAAAAAAAAAAATAATGTAAATATGGGACTGTCTAAAAGTACTACAAAAAAAATCAGAATGTTGTAATGAGTAGGGCAGTAAGTAATAATGGCAGATGATATAAAATGTGTTGTTTTCAATGAAAATGTAATGCTTTTGGTATGAGTCACTAATATAGCTGAATATTCTATTTTTAACATATTTGTGATTGAAAATTACTCTTATGTAAAATGCTGTCTACCTGTGGCACTCATGAGGAAATTTTAATTATCTTGAATAATTTTATAATGTGAATGTTTCCGGGAGAAAGATTTGTGCCAAAGGAGATAAAAAGAACAAATTGCTCTTTTGGCACTTGGATTAGTAGTAAGCAATGTTTACAATCAAAAAAATTTTAAGGGTGCTAGGTACTGTCAGCATTTGGTGGTAAAGAAGGTTTGCAAATTTACGAAACGACCAATTGATATTAATTTAGTTAAAGATATCAAATCTAAGCTCTTAAAGGGGTATATTCTATGGTTTATGAACATAGAGAAAATTTACAATGTGCCACAGCCATTTTTCAGTCATTGTTCAAATAACTACTCTTTCCGAGAGTTAGTGTTTAATCAAATGCCAGTTGTTCCTATTCTTAAAGTCTTAATGTTTGACATATATGTGTTTAACAGAATAATTTAAATTATTAAACCTGATCTTCTGTCTGTGCAAGGCTGTGTTTCTGCTCTCAACAAAATTGCAGGCATAAAATTTGAATTTTAGTGCCAAAATTATAGAAAGGAGTTGGAGTCATTATTTTCCTACCCTGAACAACTTCTCAGTTCAAGATGGATGATTCAAAGAATAATAATAGGGAATTTCTTATTTATGAAGTTACTTTTGATGTTTTCTTAGGAAAATGAAAACAAGGCAAAATTTAATAGCACAGGCCTTAATTAAAATAGGAAATAAACATACAAATACAATAAATTCTGCTGTAATATGGATTTCAGGTTCTAAGCTTAAATACAATAGGTAATATCCCTAGACTATTCAATGTAGTCTTGTCCTTTGCCACTATCTTATTGTCTGAAATTGAGTTTTCAAAGTGATTTCCATATAAAACAGGAATAAATTGAATGCAGAATTGAAATAGATATATGTCAAGTTGTCAGCAGTCACACCTGACTTTTTTGTCTAGACTATCAGTTTCATGCTTTCTGTTATATCCAATAGATAAATTTCTTAAAATTTTTTTGTTTCATTTTCTTTAAATTGTCTCAAGTTATTTCTTTATGTCCCTTGTATTTAATGCCCTCTTGTCAGAACTTAAATGCAGATTGTCCTCCAAATCCTTAATAAGACAGCTTAGTAAAATACACTGAGATTTTCTAAAAGTCAGTTCTTTTAAATATTATTTATTTATTTGAGAGAGAGAGCACACAGAGGGGCAGAGGGGAAGGGAAAGCATCTTAAGCAGACTCCCCACTGAGCGCAGAGGCCCATGCGGGGCTCGATCTCACAACCCTGAGATCATGACCTGAACCAAAACCAAGAGTCGGCTGTTTACCTGACTGAGCCACCTAGAAGCCCCTAAAAGTCAATTTTTTAATTGATCTATACTGATTTTATTTTAACCCTCAGAGTTTCAGAATTAGAACTGTAATAGATAAGCTTTTTCTTTAATGGTATAAATTATGTCAGTTATAATAATTGATAAAAAATAAAATTCTTATAAGAGAGATGTCAGTTCAGTATATAATTTCATCCTTTGGCCTTAGATAGGTCTTCTAAAAATAGTTTTTCTGTCTTTTCTCTAGGCTGAACATACCTAAGTCCTTCACTGGTTCTCATAGTATGAATTCTCGATCAGTAGTATCCTGGATATTCCATTTTTGGATCCACTACATTTTTTCAGTATTCCTTTAAAAATACTCTGTACAGAACTGAGTGTACTCTGTGTGGTTTGAGGTACACAATACAGTCTTTCTCTTATGAATGAGATCTGTTAATGCAGCCTGCTTGATTCCACTAACTTTCTCTTTGTCATCAGCACTGTTGGTTCATGTTGAATCACAGTCTGCTGAAACCCTGTTTGCCCAAAGTATGTTTCAAAACCTATAAAGTTAGATTCAGCAGTCATCTATTAAACACCTATTCACTACTAGATGTGCTCATAAAAGTTTAAATTTGTACAGTCTTAACAGGGCTATGAACTGGGCATTAATAACCCATTTTACAAAAAGGAAACTCGAGGCTCCATGTACTGA